TATATATATAATTCATATTGAATTATTTAAGCAATGAGCCTCGTCTACAATAGTCGCACAGGCTGTGTCGCATGTCGTATGCAATGTCGCAGAAGTGTCACATGTAGGCTACGTTCCATTTAACGCTCACAACGCTCATGGAATCATTTCATCTTTGTCGTTTATCAAACGTTAAACAAGGATAAACGATGCTCGCGAGCGTTGCGAGCGTTAAGTGAAACGCAACTCTAGTTACATGATTGTTGCAGTCGCAAGAGCTCTTGTCATACGGAGTTGAGCCAACTTCAACTTTCTGCGACTGCGACAAGCGTGTCGCATGAGCCAATCACAACACAGCAAGTTGGCGTTTAGAATTTGTGGTCGAATTGCGTGCAAACAATCCTTGCGACTGTTGTAGACGCTCATTTAGCGACACTCTTGCGACATGCGACAAATTCCTGCGACGCTACTACTCGCGACATGCGACACAGCCTGTGCGACTATTATAGAGATGAGGCTTTAAAGATCCAGCTTTGATCGTCATAGGCATTTAATTTCTAGTTCTTATTTTTTTAAGTAATGGTTGGGAAAAATGAAGAAAAAACGTATTAATTTCTGTCACTAATTCAATTTTACACTTACACACAATTCTTGAGATATAAATATATTTTTCTATTTTGAATGAAATCAAGTAAAAGTAAAAGGCAGATGTATTACGTTATTTATGTTGTATTTCATAAAATTTTCGTTCACACCCTCCCCTAGTGAAACCGGGATCAAATACCATCGAGCGTAAATCAACGGAGTCTTCGGTAACTATACCGTTCGAAAGGACGTTCCGCAATCTCGACGTGAACAGACCAATCGGCGGCGATAACCTGGAACAGTTCAACTTTTGCGGATGCGGCTGGCCACAGCACATGCTAGTACCTAAGGGCAAGGAGGAGGGATTCCCGATGGACCTCTTCATCATGATATCCGATTACACCGGTGACGCGGTGAGTACTTTTTATACTTATCGAGCTCTCGCGGCGCTTAAGAGCTTACCGTCTGCCAGGTGATGATGGAAACCTTCCACCCATTCCTCACACTTCTTCCTCCCCCTTTCTTTTTTCCACTCTTTTAACGACGACGTTCCAGTACACGAGAAGGTATTCGTATCACTCTGCTTTCGGGCCAAAAAAAGGAAAAAAGGGGGGAGGGAGAAAGAAGAAAGAAAAGAAAAAGAGGACAACTCGCTAAAGGAATTGCTTTGCCGTCCTACGGCGACATGTACAGGTGGAACAGGACGAACCGACCGGATGCAAGGACGCGGCGAGCTTCTGCGGCCTGCGGGACCGCAAGTATCCGGACGCGCGACCCATGGGCTTTCCATTCGATCGTAGAGCCCGTGCTGGCGTGGAAACTCTGGCCCAATTCTTGATCGGCAATATGGCAGTCGCGCAGATTAACATTCGCCACACGGATACTATATTGCCGCGAATGCGATCCGGAAGTATGAGCAACACTCTCACCTTCGCCTAATCCGATGATTGATCGACCAACCGAACGCGATAGACCGCTCTCGTGCATCTCCGCCAAGAATTCCAACGTTTCCATTTCTACCACGCATTCTTAGTAGCAATCCTGCCATATTCGTCATAGAATCGCGACTGATTGCGTGGAAACGCGACACGGTTCTCATCCTAGTCCATCTTTGGATGACAAACGCTGGAATGACGGCGATGGGACGGGAGTGGATAAAAAGCTGGAGGTGGGCGAGACACTATTTCCATATCT